GGGCAGGGTAGGTATAAGATAAGCCTGGCATCATGTTATGTCAAAAGGAAGGAAGTGCTCAAGAAAAATGAAGGAGGCACATCACAAAAACACAGGAACCAGACTGAAGGAGCTGACACTGGCCAAATCTGGGACAATCTGAGAACAAAAACATCATTAAAGAAGAAAAAAAAAAGGAATCCATACTAACAATAGATAAGTAAAGAGGGGATAAGGGAAGGCTTTTCTTTATAGGGGCCAAATGTGGAGGGAGAGCTAGAGTTGAAAACTCATCATAACCCATCAGAGTAAAGATGACATAAAGCAAGAATCATCAATGAATGCTAAAACTAAAGGAAAATTTTGATGAATAGGATATTTGCATGGTCTTAAAATACTCCCCAGATTGCTTATTAGTTTCAAGGGGGAGTGAGAGGGGCAGTAAAAAAATCAGAGAACACCTTGACAGGGTAATTAAAAATTAACATCACCAATGAGGACTAGATGGACACTATGTACATCTTCAAATGTGATACCTTGAGAAGGCCATAAGATGACATTTGCAGTNAAAAAAAAAAAAGAATTAGGTCTGCTAAATTAACCAATTTCCTTTTTTGATAAAACTATTATAATGAAATAACCCATAATTATTGTGCAGTTATCACATATTAGTCACTGCAGTAAGCATATGAATTATTTCACTTAATCTTCACAACAACCCTATGGTATACACTATTACCCTGATTTTATAGGTCAAGAAACTGATGCTGAGAGAGATAACCCAAATAATCAACTTAGGAAAGAGGGAAGTTGAAATTCAACCTGGATGACTCCCTATACCAAGTTTGCCTGTAGACATAGCTTACCTTAATTTCCTCAAAGCATTCTAAATATGCACAGGCACTGTGTTATGTACTGAAGGTAAAAGTTGAATGATGCAGTCTCTACAGTGTAAGAGCTCTCATAAAACTTTTCATTTAGTGCCGGCCCGTGGCTCACTCGGGAGAGTGTGGAGCTGATAACACCATGGCCATGGGTTCGGATCCCTATATAGGGATGGCCGGTTGGCTCACTGGCTGAGCGTGGTACTGACAACACCAAGCCAAGGGTTAAGATCCCTTCACTGGTCATCTTTTAAAAAATAAATAAATAAATAATAAATAAAACTTTTCATTTGAGGGCTGGCTGGTTAACTCAGTTGGTTAGAGCACGGTGCTAATAACACCAAGGTCCAGGGTTCAATCCCTGTATCAGCCAGCCACCAAAAACAACCAACAAAAGACTTTTCATTTGTGTAGACAAAATGAATTAACATGAACTACATCATAGTCTATATTCCTAGGCATTTCTAATATCTACACCCAAATGCCTATCTGATGATGCATAGCCTTGTCTTGATACTTACTCCAGCCAAAACAAACTATCACCTCTGGGCAATCACTACCCCAGTATTCTCTGTTTAAAACATGGATCACTTCTTCCAGGTTGTCCCATCTTCCCCTAATGGGTTCGTACACTAGAAAGGTACTCATCATATTATACTGAAATTACTTGTACAATTAGCTTTCCTTTCCACCAGAGTATAGGACAGGAACCTCATCTGTCTTGTTCATCACAGAATTCCCAGTGTCACTTTCTAGGTCACTCTATACGTTTGCTCAATGAAAAAGGACTCAGTGATGTCACAAGGTTTGTCCTTAGCACAGCTTGGATTCAATCGTTTCATCAACTTAAACATGTGCCTGCTGTCTTCATTCATCAATTTGGGGTTGGCCGGTTAGCTCAGCTCGTTTAAGTGCAGTGTTACAACACCAAGGTCAAGTGTTTGAATCCCTGCACCAGCCAGCCATCCCCACCCTCCCATCCCCCAAAAAGGCAAAGACATTGTCAATTTGGGTATATATAGGTACACGCATATGTATGTGTGTGTGTACATATATGCATATGTTTTCTTACTTTTTCCGCTGAAAGGACCAAGTAGCAAAGTGCCTGGATCCAGGGGATTAATGAAGCAAAACTTGTAGGAGATTGTGAGCCTTGGTGCCCAGAAGAAGTTTTAGCAGAAGTTTTTATGGCAACTCTTAAATCTTGATAACACTCAGTAATCTTGAAGGAGACTACTTCTCTGTTGATACTCTCGCATTGGGGCGTGTTCTTTGGGAAGTACTTGAAAATGATTTTTTAATGATTCACTATATTACAGGAAATAGTGATTAAAACAAACCCAGAATGGTACTTGGTGCATAGTAGGTTTTCCCTAAATGTAAGTAGCTATTTCTGTTTTACTATTTTTCATAATGATGTACTGGAAAATCTTAATTAAGGAAGGACTAAAATATGAATAGTGTCATCCAATAGGACTGGATAACATTTTCCCCAAATGCTAAAAGTGTAATACATGCATGATGTAAAAAAAAAAATTCTAAGTTATGGAAACATATGTGTTGGCAATTGCTTATTTCTGGGGGTAGAATAATGTGCTTGCCAGGAAAGATAATTCCTCTTTGTTTACTAGTCAAGGGACTTCTAGTTTTTATTAATTTGCTTTTTACTTCCAAAATTACAGTCTTCATCTTAATTAGTCAGGTCTCCTGAGCAGCTAGAACAACTCAGAAACTTTCAAACTGGTCTTGGTTGGATGGCTTAAGAAATCCATAACATTTCTTGACAGTTTTAAGTCCATTTTGTGGAATGAATTCTAAAAAAAACAATCTTGATATAGTAGTTCTAGAGGTCTTCATTTTGTGGTACTGAGAGTATTTAAACTATTGAATATCTGAAAGACTGTTATGATGTATCACCTATAATTTTGTTTAAAATTTTATAGTGGATACTCTACTAGTGATCACTAGAGACCCTCAGTTTCTTCACAATAGGAGAAATTCATTGCACTTTCATTGTTTTATAAAATAATGTGATTAGCTTATTACCCATTCAATACATGACAAATATAAAAACCAAATTAAGGGCCGGCCCGTGGCTCACTCGGTAGAGTGCGGTGCTAATAACACCAAGGCCCCGGGTTCGGATCCCACATAGGGATGGCCGGTTCGCTCACTGGCTGAGCGTGGTGCTGACAACACCAAAGTCAAGGGTTAAGATCCCCTTACCGGTTATCTTTAAAAAAAAAAGAACATTTTTGGATCAATTAATGATTAGAAAACAAATGACAGATGAAACAGAAACATTGTATCAATGTTAAACTGATTGAAGATAAACTTTACTATGATTATAAAAGAGAATATCCCTATTCTCAGGAGAATATCCCTATTCTCAGCAAATACGCACTGAAATATTTAGAGGTAAAGCGGCATGATTTTGTAACTTACCCTTAAGTTCAGAAAAATAGTGTGTGTGTAAATACATAAGAGAGAAATACTGATTCGTTACATTACCGCCACACATCTAAAAGGAAAGTATATAATGCTTGACATATAACCTTATGAATGTGATAAAAAGGGTAAACATACCTGAATAGGAGAAGGCTTTTCCCACCCCATTTCAAAAATTCCCATCAATAACTCCCGTTTCAAACAGTAATCTTCAAACTCATTTCCTTTTGTGGAGGTCACATCCTAGTCAAACAAACAAAACAAACAACAATAATAAAGTACAACTGTGTCCTTTGGTATTAGCATCCTTAAGAAAATTTGTCTGGGAGACCCTAATTCTTCATTTACCCATTCTTAAATAGAAACATATGCAGGGGTAGCCACTTAGTTCAGTTCGAGCACGGTGTTATAACACCAAAGTCAGGGGTTCAAATTCTGTACTGGCCAGCCGCAAAAAAATAATAATAAAATAAACAACAAACAGATTACTTTTAATTTATATTTCAACCTTTCCTGGAGAATAATCATGCTTCCTTCAACACAAACAAGCCATTTAAAAGCTGTGTGTTGGGGAAAGGCTACTCTGTGGTCATAGTCTTCTAACGACTGGTGGAATACTATTATTTCTATGCAAGTATCCTACTATGAATTGCATATCACAAGATGTAAAGTCAAACCCTAGCTCCACCACTCATGAGCTACAAATACCCATGGTTCAGTGAGGGTTTCTCAAGCTCAGCAGTGTTGACGTTTTAGACAAGAGAATTCTCTGTTGTAAGGAACTGTCCTATAGCAAACTCCTCCCCGCCCAAATAATCAAAAATGTCTCTAGCTATTGCTAAATGTCCCTTGGTGGACAAAATCTCCCCTGGTTGAGAATACTGGGCTAAGAAAAATAACTTCTCTGAATTCCCGTTTTCTCATCCACAAAACGGGGATAATACCTAGCATGAATATCTTACTGGGAGCAAAAGAAAAATTTGAGAAAACACCTTGAATACCCTAACAGCATTCCATAAATTAGATAACATGTGGATGTATATAAACACATTATTTAAACATATACATGCTGATTATATTATTATATAATTCCAAAGAATGGTGAAAAATTTTGGCAATCCAATATATATGACCGATACAATTTCAACCACTTCAACTCAAGCATAAACAATGTCTACTGTTACAACTACTTCACTTCTAGAGTTTCCTCACTTTAATTTTATAACCAACTTACCGAAGTTTTGATTCTTAGATCCTTTGGAGGGAGTTTTAAAGTCTTTTTCCAGTCATCACCAGGTCTAGAGAGAATACAGTAAATTTGAAGTATCAAAATCCATAACATTCTACCTAATAATGCAAAGATGACTCATCTCAATTGTAATTAAGTTCTAAAAAACCACAGTAAGTTTAATATATCGCCATTTACTTAATACAGTTACAAGAGAGTTAACTTTAGAAAAAGTGTTCTTACGAAGAATAATCTAGGGAGGAACAAAAATCAAGGGCCGGCCCATGGCTCACTCAGGAGTGTGTGGTGCTGATAACACCAAGGCTGCGGGTTTGGATCCCATATAGGGATGGCCGGTTGGCTCACTGGGTGAGCGTGGTACTGACAACACCAAGTCAAGGGTTAAGATCCCCTTACTGGTCATCTTAAAAAAAAAAATCAAGAACCGAAGGGATGAAGGCATCCAACTTTTTAAGAGAAGCAGTGTAGTATATATTCTGTTAAAACATGTTTTATTTGACCTACACTGTGTATGTGTGTGTTTTAATTTATATTAGTTGCCAATATTTAAAAAAATCAGGAGATTTTACATAAAAGTTTAGATTCTGGCTTTTCTTGGAAAACTGGAAGCTTTAACAACACTGTTCCAAATTTCTGTATGGCAACAGTTTGATAGCTTAGTAAGTAGAGTTTAAAGTCAAGCTGCTGCTCCCTTTAAACAGAGCAAGCGTCCTCTAATTTGGTACAGTCCTCTGTAGGCATCTGAGTTTGTACCTTCTGGTGGCAAGTTAAAACCAAAGACTCTGAAATTTCAGGCTTGAGTTCAAGTCCTGACTCTACTACTTATTAGATCTGTGACTTCGCACTAGTCATTTTTTAAACCTCTACTCTCTCATATATAAAATGAAGTATTAACAAGTATATCAATTTATGTAAAGCACTCAGCATAGTAGCTGGAAAGATAAGAACTCAGTATAGCTGTTAATTTCTCTTAATCTATTTTACTGGAGATGCTTGAAACCATGAAAGAGAATTTAAAAAAGGAAAACATAAACAACCAAATTTCTTTTTATTCAGGTAAAAAACCTCAAATAAAACAAATTAAAAAAAGATCGTCAGGAAACATCTGCAGACGATGCTTTCAACTGTGTCATCTTTAAAATAAAACTTTTCACTGATTTCATTGTAGTTATTCTTACATATGAGCCCCAAAGCATCTCAAAGGCTTGAGTTAGAAAAATAAGCACTTATTTTAAAGCTAGTGCCCACATGAGGCAAATAATCTAACACCAGAACTCTTTGTTACCAATTCCAAGGCTACTGAAGTCTTTCATTTCAGCCTATACCATTCAAAGTTTCTGAGCAAAAACGTCAGTTCAACATCCTAGTAGGCCAGCTTGCCATAACTGTCAAATTCAAGAAATAGTGAATAATGGTTAAGATACAATGCAAAACCTGCCCAGAAGGAATTTATAATCTTATGAAGTAAAAAACAAACTATTTAAAATGAGAAAATAAGTGAGAGATAAGTATTAGAAGGGTTATGAAGACAGTTGAGGGGATCTAGAAGACCTCATGGAAGAGATGGCACATAAACTGAGATTTGAATAAGTGACAGAATTGAAAAACCATTAATCCTAGGAAAAGCAAAAAAGAAAAAGCAAAACCCACTGTTGTCTCAAACCAGAATTTTTTAAATAAAAAATTCTCTTATAAAGAAGTAACATATGTTTCTATCCTTAAAAATAGCCTAAATTTTGCTAGCCTATTCATATTTTGTCAAGACAAACTATAATTTAGAAAATAGTCCTTATTTCTGTACCAATTAAAGCATTCACCTTAAAAATAATAGAATATTCACTAATGCCAATTCTCTCACTGATCAAACCAATTCTACTGGGAATTCATATACTCTTAGGTCACTAGTGAACCACTATTCTAGTGAGCTACCATTTTAGTAGCCTGTAAGGGCTATTTTTCTCTAGGAAATGAAAAGATCTAGGTTGTAATAAAACATACACTTTAGTTCAGCCAAGTATCACCATCTTATGAAGATCTGTAGAGGTTAAATTATTTTACATGGGTAGATGCTTAGCAAAAGCCAAACCTCAATTGGGTCAAGAATCTTGAATGTTAATTTCCTATAGGTGAATCTTCAGAGTGACAGTTACCATTCAAATAATTTAAAGTAGGCACTTAAAGATGACAGCCTACAAACTTCCAGCTTTCAATGAAAAAATATTCTGTAGTAAGATGAGGTTCTCAAATTTTAGAGTCAAAGGGGTTTGGGACTATACAGAAATGTGTTCCCAAGAGTTTAAAAACCTGAATTCCCCATGATTTATTTTGTGTGTCTAAAAGGAGGAAAATGCCATTTAAAAAAAAAAAAAAAAAAGTAGAAAAGCAAAGTTCCATAAGCAAAAAAAAATAAAGGATGTTTCCTACAAGTGAAAACACTTGCAGTTCAGAAGGGTAGGTAAGTCTTTAAATTTAAAACTTGAACTTGGCTTTAACTGCCATTTAAAACTAGGGTAAGCTGCAATTACAACACTAGAAAAAATACAACATTGACAAAAACCAAGATGAATTTGATCATTTCATTCATTTATAACAAACTCAGCTAGTAACTCCTATACTGAGCCACATATGGAAACCAGAAATGTTTCAAAAAATAATCTAACAAAATTAATATACATAATCATCTGTTCCTATGATTACTTGCTGAATTAATTATGGCAGAAATACACTATTCTATTGCAAATACATGCTAGTCATAAAACAAAGTCATCTGTCCTCTATTTGCAATCAAAATAGTCAAATTAAGGAAGTAGTTAACAAAGTAACAAAAAGAAATCTTGGTTCCCCAACTGTGTTTATTATTTATTCTAACACTTACTTAATAGTGGTGGTCATACTCTGTGCTTGCTGCTGAGTGCCATTATTCATTGTGTTGGTGTTTTTCAGCTGGTTCATCTGTTGCTGTGTCTGTGTGCCCCCTCCTCCAGGGCCACCACTGGGCTTCACAGGGCCCCTCAGCTGACCATTTTGACTGGATAGACCCATTATAACAGGGTTCTCTGTTCTGGCCGTGCTCATGCTGTGTTAATTGCAAAGGTGTCTTCCAAACTTCAAAACTTTTTAAAGTCAGTAGAGAAACTGTAATAACAGTTTATTAGGCTCTCCAAAACGAAGAGATAAATATAAGTCTTGCTCAATATATGAGTCCTTTATTGCAATGCAGGCAAGCACCTGTAAGTCTCTGAACGGTAAGCAGCAGTAATTTGCTCTCGTGCACCGAATCAACTTTTTATTTTTAAAAAGCCCTCTAACAAGCTTGAATTGTATCTGAATTCACTTACTTCAATCTGAAAGAAAGAAAAAATTAAATTAGCAAACACAAGAAAGTTAGGATAAAATGTGTTTTCCTTTCAGAGAACTCCTTTAAAAGGCTCATCTTTTAAAGAAGTCAGAATACAGATACACTTAAACCAAATCATTAGCCAAGCTAGGGAAGACACAACTACGAACTGCCTCAAAAACCAAACCTAGAGTGAGATCAATCTCAACAAACATTTAAAATTGTAAGGTTAAAGCAACCCAGAGAAGATCAGGTAGAAATTTACTATGATTAAATTAGCATTAGTTGTCAAATGACAATCTCTTCCCTTCAGTTTCCTCCCTGATTTCTCTAAAAGTCAATGACTCATTATACTTACTTGCTTTACAACTCAGTGAAGTATCACACAATTTATTTAATGAAAATCTAGATTCAAACAAGGCAAGACAATTCAAACTTTTTTTTCTATTTCTGATAGCAACCGAGAGTCCTTGAATAGTTAAGTGAGCTTTGACTTAACTTTATGCTTTCAGGAAAACAAACAAACAAAGAAAAACCCACTTTTGTGCCCTTATGAATTTCAACTACAGAAGTTAAACTTTACGAAGAAAAAATGTATTTCTTTTTTCTCTTGATTTTGTGCTTTAAAACTATAAAAACAAACAAAGAAAAACCCACTTTTGTGCCCTTATGAATTTCAACTACAGAAGTTAAACTTTATGAAGAAAAAATGTATTTCTTTTTTCTCTTGATTTTGTGCTTTAAAACTATAAAAGAAGCAGTCAAGGGATATGGACATGTCTATATGTCAAAATCTTTTGCTTGAAAACAGCGGAGAAAATCTTTGCTACCTTAATAAATGAATACTAAAAAACTGTTATTTTTAAATACAACACTTTTCAAAAAGCTTAAAATAGCATTATTTTAAACCCAATTTAAGATAGCATTATTCAAAAAATAAAAACAAAAAAGGAAATTTCCTGGGGGTATGATCTGTAAAAAGGTAAGCACACTAGTGACTTTAATAAAACCCAGAATACGGGGCCGGCCCGTGGCTCAAGCGGGAGAGTGTGGTGTTGTTGATAACACCAAGCCCACGGGTTCGGATCCCATATAGGGATGGCCGGTTAGTTCACTGGGTGAGCGTGGTGCTGACAACACCAAGTCAAGAGTTAAGATCCCCTTACCGGTCATCTTTTTAAAAAATAAATAAATAAAAATAAAACCCAGAATACTATTAAATCTAATTAATAGTTGTTTTTAAGAAGAACTGGTCAACCTCCATTTTTAAACTGTTCCCCATATCGAATTCCTATTTCAAAATTTACTAAACACAAAATTTACAAATACCAGAAAACAAAGCTCTACTATTTTGGCTTTTTATTTTTTTAACTCCCTTTTATTTCTTACTAAAAATACACTACCTTATTTATCAGTGCCGGTTGTCTTTGCCACATCCCAAGGCATCTCAAACTCAAAATTTAACTCAAATGGCATCTCAAAATTAGAAAAAGCTCCTTGATTACGTCTTCCCTTTTTAAAAAATCTGAACATCAAACTGCTCACAAGCAAATCCTGATCATCACAATACACCAAACTTTTATTTCGAAGTCTCCCTGAATCTGACTGGCCTCTTTAGCAAACGTGGTTAACAGCTACTTTCCTATATAGACAGGTTTTTATAATGATCAAAGACGTCAAGTAGTTCACACAAGGAGACTTATCTGTGCGCATAGCACTAAGAGGACGAATAGGACAACCTCTAAAAACTAAACGATTTCATTACTGTCCATTATGCACAAAAACACCTTCTATTTCCCTAAATCCAAAATGAAACTATGAGATAACTGCTCCCTTCTTAAACTGAAACCTACACTGCAGCTTTAGGTCTCAAAGAAGGAAACATTCCTCCTACCCCTTCCCAATTTAGATTTGCAAGTTGTATTTCTACATAAAAAAAAAAAAAGCAAAGAAGGAAACATTCCTCCTACCCCTTCCCAATTTAGATTTGCAAGTTGTATTTCTACATTAAAAAAATTTAGATTTGCAAGTTGTATTTCTACATAAAAAAAAAAAAAGAAAGAAAGAAAGAAAGAAAGGAACGTAGACTAGTTGGGAGGAGCCCCCGGAGAAATTAATTACTGCACTACCCAGATCGTAGTTCGCAATGGACAGTTTCACACCCTAAACAGTACCGTCATCTCCAACAAGAGCTTTTGTTTGCAAATGCAGCGCAGTTTCTTCAAGCTTTAGCTGCAAGTTGGAATGACTGGGTCTTATTCTGAAGGGAAAAGGGGACTAAAGAAGAGAAAAGGGAGTGAAGAAGAGGGAAAGAGACAAACTAATGACTGGAGCCCCGTCAACTGGAGGGCAATAATTTCTTGCCCCTCCTCCCCCCAAACACACACTTCAAGTCAGTTCTCTCTGACCAAAAACACAAAAGGGTTGGGGCCCGGCAATCCTATCTGCGCAACAAGAGCCGGGAACCAGCTCCACCGGTAGGAAACAAAAGGGACCCCCTCAACCCAGAACGCCCCTCCTTTCCTTCACTACTTAGGGGCTCTATAAACACCCTCTGGTTGTCGACCAACAAGGCCCACTGCAATAAAGCAGCTGCCGGTCCTCTTCGAAAGCGAGCTCCCCCAATACAGCATATTCCTACCATCCCCTATAGGGCCGCCTCCTACCCTACAACCTCCATCATCATCCCCTTAAGCCACCCCCCTTGGGCCCCATATTCCCCGATCTCCTATAAAGCTCCTCCGAGTACTTGGCCCGCTCCTCCTCCCGACCCCGCCACGCACCACATTCCTATATTCGACTCCTCTTGGGCGCCCCACACAGCTGCCGTCCGCTTTCCTCCCCCGGCCCGATCGGGCCTTAGGCCTCCGCCCCAGGGCGCCCCCCACGCCGGCCCGAGGGGCTCTCCGAAGCCCCCACGGCACCGCTGACCTCGATCCCACCACCTCGCCCCACGCCCCGCGGCTCGGGCCCGAGTCCTACCACCGAGGCCACTCCTGCTCGGCACCCTCGGTCTTTTATTGTTGACTCGAAGCTCCCAAAATGGCGGCGGCTCCTTCCTCCTCGGAAACCTCCGCCCGCCCCCACCCGGCCCCTCGCTGCGGCCTCCTCCCGCCCCCGCCCTCCCCCTCGCCCCCGCCCCGCTCTAGGGACAGTGCTGCCGAGCAGCCCGCGCCGCCGCCTCCCGGGCCGTCCAGTCCTACCTCCGCCGCTGCCCCCTCTCAGGGCACCACCGGAGTCGCCGCCGGGCTGAGCTACCTCGGCTCCTCTGCCCCCTCCCTCGCCCGCCCGCCGCCTCCTCCCTTTCCCTGCCCCTCCGCATGGCGGCGGCCGCGGCTCCTCCTCCACTCAAGATGGCGAGCTCTGCCGCCGCCACTACGCCCGCCGCGGCGTCACGGCCTCCGCTGTCTGGCGGCGGAACAAGCCCGGCAGGGGAAGCTCCTTGAGGAGAAAATGGAGGGCCATTCTCTCACACCGACGAGAGAAAAGTCCAGGGGGAATTACGGGTTCCTTCCTGAAGGGGCAGGAGGGCCTCTTTTTCCACGGCTGAGGAGAAATGACTGGGGAATGGTGACTGGGAAGAGTCGCCTCGCCTTCGCCCCTCCGAAGTGAAAATCGGGGATTGAGACCAGAGGAAGACCTGCCTACTCCTGACCAAGGACTCTCCGAGAAGACACGGGCCGGGCAGCTGCGCGGGGACGGGAAGCTGACCTGACACCTCCCGCATGCCGGGGAGGCTGCTGCCGGGCCAAAGGGGTCGCGTCCATCCAGGAACGCGCGGAGCTAGTGGCCCGGAGGCCCCGGCGCGCGCCTCGGCGTGGGGGCCGGNAAAGCTAACTAGGTCAAGGAAAATAAAAACCTGGGGTCTCACCCAGCTGAGAGACTGAACAGACAGACAGACAATGGCCAAACCTATGTGACAATAGAACTCCTACCCACGACCTCTGCAGCAAGCAGTCCAGAATGGTCAGGACTTGGCCACTGACTGGCAGCTTCCCTATTTTTTGCCGCTGCTTCCAACTGAGGACCAATCAGAGAAAGCCAAATATGCTCCCCAAACCAATCACATA